TACATATAATATTATAAATAAAACTTTAAATAAAAAGAATTAATCATAAAATAATATGTTATAATTGTAAATTTACAATGACACAAGACCCATTGGGTATAGTGGTTTTATGACAACAATTAACAATTTTGCTTAAACTACTAAATATAAATGTTTGGTAAATTTATATATTTTGAAACCATTACAAACAAGGTATTTGAACAAAATTTTTGTTTAATAATTTGAAACTAACGGATAGCAATTAGAGTTCAAACTGTTAACAGATTATAATTTCTTAATTTTATTAACAAATTTATCTTTTTTAATTTTTTAATTTTTATCATAGCTTTTAATTAATATTTACCTAATAAGTTTTAATTTCCTTTTTTTACCCTTAATAACATTAAGTGATTATAATATTTTTATTTTTTTACATTAATGTATCATTAAAAAATATATTATCTTAAAAAATAAAATTTGTTAATTAGATAAAATGATTAATTTTTATTTAAAAATAATATAATTTTTTTTTGTTAAAAATAAAAATAAGGGTGTAATTACATTATTATAATTAATTTTATTTATTTATTTTCTTATTATTTTTTTATAAAATTAATAATTTTAATGATAAAAAAATAAAAATATTTTTAAAAAAAAAACTTAATTGTTTTTAAGCATGTTCTTATTAGTCATTTTATATTAAACAACAACAGCTAACTATTGCATAATCAACCAATTATATCTATTAAATATGTTATTTACTATCTACTATTTACTATTCACTTTTTGCTACATGTTATCTACTATCTACTATTTACTATTCACTTTCTATTATCTGTTATCTACTATCTACTATCCGCTATCCGTTGAATTTTAATCACTATACCAAACAGGCCCATAAAATAGTGATATAGAAAATAAAAATTTAATATTAATTATGTGGTAGAAATTATATTATTAAATGAGGTGAGAGATACAATATCATAGGTTTTATTAAAATGAAAAAAGTCAATTATTGAATAAATAATATTATTTATTTTTTAATATTTTAAATAACATGACATGATATGTTGTTAATATCAAATTTTGATCTTATAAAATTCATCTCTTTTATCATTAATTATTCTAACATATAATATTGTAAACTTACAATTGAAAAATAATTAATATACTCTAAATTCAATATATTTATCAAAACTTATTTGTTCAATTATTAAATTTTACAATTAAAACTTTTCTTACATTGAATTTAAATTTAAAAATAATAATTTTTTAATAAATATATTAAATTAAAAAATATATCAATTATTATCCTCGCAACAATAACATAACATATTTCACATTCTATCTATATATTTTCACTAAAAAAACACAAAGCGGAAAAGACGGTAGTCATTCCAAATCTCGGAAAATTCTGGTTGTTTGTTTCGACGTGCCTAAATGAACATATGAAGTAATAGTAGGAAATTGGATTCCCGGCATAAATGATGGGGGAGAGGAATACCAACGAGGAAGACAGTTTCCTTTCTTACCTGACATTGTCCTGACTCACAAGGCAAAAGAATCCGTTACAACTTACAAGTACAAAAATGGGAGGATTTGGTATTCCTTTCTCCCATTTACTTTTCCAGGATTTCTTTTACTCACATTTTCCGTCCTTTTCTGCAATAAAGATAGGGAATACGTAATGAAGACGACGCAGAGGTAGGATAGGATACCGATACTCCCTATCTTAGACAAAACAAAGTTAAATTAAGCAAAATGTACTATGGATGATTTTATGTAGCTTCGGCACGGGCTATGTGGGTGCCCACTTCCCACCCCCTCCCCTCGATCACCACCATAGGTAATAAAATCATTTTTTGAAGTACATATTCCAAATTTAGGGAATTTATTTATTTTCATATGGAATCGTAAATTTCAAGGAAAGCATATTGTAACGGGAATAGAGAAGGATTTTGGGACCAGTAAAATGAATTTCACTATTTTTGTACTCTAGTAATAATTTCTTCATCCATTGTTACCAAAAAAGAATGAGACGGTGTGAACCTCACTCAACCGACGGAGGGACCCCAATAACCATTCTAACTCAATTACTAATTTTGGTGGTTTCCCCATTTATTTACTAGGTTCAATTACTTGATTTGTACATCTAGATTTTTTGTTTTTTCTTTTTGGGTCTTGTAATATCCAAACAATTACGTTTTGGATTCTCAAGTCGTGTAGATTAGAGTGTTTTGTTATTTTGTGACACATGTATTTTTTGTTATTTGTCTAAGATTTGAGCATCAAAGGTGATGCCGTTTGGATTATATATTTAGAGCTTGGGACTAATAAGAGGCCTGGTTTTGGTTTAATAGTTGATATAATAATAATTATTATTATTTATAATTCAAATATTCTTATTAGTTTGATTAGAAAAATATATATAAGTTGTTTATTAGTAACTAAATCAAACAATATCTAAAAAAATATAGTTGCAAAAGGAGTGAAGTGAATTGGAACATGCAAGTTACTAAATAATATGAAAACATTTAAGGCATAATAAATCATAAAACAAGGTAAAAGACTTATCAATAAATTTAACCTTGTAAATAATAATGATAATCTGCTTCTCCATCTTTTTCACCCCAAATGCATGCTAGCATGAGAAATGTGAGTAGCATTGTTGGTGACGTTGTGCAGACATGGCATGACTAGAGTAAGCATGTGGACTTTCTTTTCTATGTTGTCCAAAAATAGGAGATGTTAGTCATAATTCCAACTCAGTTTTGTTGAATCAAAATCATCTCCGAAAACAGAAATCCAAGTTCAGCAATCCCAAAGCCGTGTCAAGTACTCCAACTCCATCCCTCCTGTCAAACCCATTTAATTACAATAAAAATAATCTTAAAAAAATACCTAACCCAGACCTTATATATTAATTTCTCTCACTTTCAAGCTTCAAAACCCTCACAAAACAAGCAATTAACCAACCTTCTCATCTACTCTACCAATATTTTATCATCATCATCTTCTCCGGTCTACTGCGGAACAGAAACATATGAACCCAATTGAGAACTAAACATTAGAACATCTATAATACAACAAGAAAAAAAACTGCATCCAAATTGATAATAATATTCATATATAATTAAGGGATTTGATAATAATAAACAAATAATAGCTCAGATCCAAATTGTCTGAGAATTACAGACTTATAATTCTTAGAGAGATTTGAATCAAATATCCCACAATTACATGGAGCGTGGCAGATTTGCGTGTAATTCATGGTATTTACTCATTCAGCTTGCTGAGAAGGCAACTGAATTAATGTGAACTCTATATAGAAGAAAGAAGCTGGCGATGCCCATGGAAGAGTACTGAATTGTGAGGGATATTTTTGGTTTCAAGCACACGGACACCTTCTCTTGGAAATGGAAACCAGATCGAACCCAGTTTCGAAAAACGCATCCACCTCATCCCGATTCACGATCTCGAAGAACTCCAGCTCCGAAAACAGCTTTCTTTTGCATGAGATTGGTCTTCTCTTAGGTTTCCTAGGAGCAGGAGGACAGCACAGAACCGTTGGGATCTTGTGTTCCTGTGACGTCGGTGTGCGGCACTCCTGATCTTCGTCACTGCTACTACTTTCCTGCTGCTGCTGTTGGATTACATTGAATCGGTCCGGAGTTTCAATCTTGATAGCCGATATCTTGATCTTGGGCAATTCCTGGCACAATTCTAGATCCGTAGACATGTTGTTATGCGTACTGCCGTGGTGGGTCGATGTTTCTCCGAAGGAGAGGAGAATAACAAGGGAAGAGATGAGAGGAAGGCGTGTGAGGGAAGGTAAGGGAAAGAAGAATGGGCGTTGGATTCTTTTATAACGATGATGAGGAGAGTTATGGAATGAAGGGGATAGAGTTCATAAGGAAAATGAATTGGAGGCATTTAGATCATATGGAATATTACCTTTTCTTGGCTTTAATAGAAACTCCCAATAGTAACTAATATTTATTTTTACCGCCAAACCCATGTTAAGTAATTGTTAACAATTTTTCCTCTTCTGGATTTTTAGTACTACTATATAATTTGGAATTCATATTTAATGATATAGATGGTACATTTAATAGTGTAATAAATTTATTAAATGTATTTTAATAAATTTATAAGATAAATTATATTTTTAATATATAATTTACCATATAAAACACTTTTTTTAAATATAATTTATATGGATCATAATTTTTTTTAACAATAGTAAATTGGTGAAAAAAAAAAAAGAAAATATCTGGGAGGAGTGCTAGATATCCTAAAATGAAAGGAAAAAGAATAAATTAATAAGTATATTATAGTGTTAAATTTACATCAAGGGAGATATTGAGGAGATTTCTTTTTATTTTTAATCTTTTTTATTAATACTTGTATATGAACCTCTGGCCTAACTAGCTAATCCTACAAAATTCAGACAAAGCTCAACCCTATGCAAGCAGAAATTTATTCTTTTATAAAAAAATGATTGAAGATAATAATAAAGAGATTTGTACCTAAATTTTTAGCATTATTCGGATCATTACTTTTCATTTCACCAACTCCACCGAATTTTCTTAATTCATTTATATATATATATAAATTTTATTTTGTAAGCAAAAATTTATGGGTGATGAGACCATTTTTTCCAGGCCAAAAAAGGGTCTTTTTTTAATATAAAAGAAAAGGAAGAGGAGAAATAAATGAGATGCTTTAAAATGGAAAACGATTTTCCATTCCATTTTTTCTCTGAATTGGAGTGTAAGAGAAATAATTGAAAGGAGTTTAAGATTTTGCCGGAAATGCTTATTCTTGTGACACGTGTCACAGTGTTTTTAACTTTAGCGGATATGGGATATGTGGATCGTATAACGTAAATCTTACGTTAGAGACAAAAGTTGTTGGCTATTGTATCTCTTTCCACGCGCTAACAAGGTGCGTGTAACCACTCTCTTAATTACTTCTTTTTTTTTTTTTCCTTTTTCTTTCTCATTTACTATTATGATTTACTACCTTTTTCAGATTTTTAATTTCTTTTTATAAAAATGTGATCTGCAAGTATGGATTGCACTAACATTCATAAGAGTACGCTCTTTAATATAGGAGGTTATTTTCTTTATTTAATAAATAGTTAATATTTTGTAAGAATTGCAAAATAAGTCTTCTTTTACATTTTTTTTTTGTTGTAAAGCTTCTAAATACTTGACTTGATTTTCTAAAAAAAATAATTTTCAAATTACCAAATTGAAGGGAAGAAAGAATGGAAACAAGATATTAAAATTCACATGTTTTGAATAGCAAAAAAAGAGAAAAAATTCTTTTGTAGTTGGTTCATTAGAGTTTTTCTTTAAATTAAGTGAAGGTAGAATTTTAAATTTTATATAAGTAAAAATACTTTAACTAAATTTTTCATAAGTGGATTAAAATTTTTTTAAAAGGTCTATAATACTATTTTTTGGTAAATAATTAAAATATTAAGTACTCATTAATTTTAATTAAATAAATTTAAAATTTTTTAAAAAGAACAATAAGCTTAACTCTCTCTCTCTCCAATTTTTTATTTTTTTGTTCAATAATTTTTATTTAAATAATTTAACTTAATTCAAAATTAAAGTTTTGATTACCAACTATTTGATTTTTTTAAACATGGTTTATTCAATTAACAAATTTTTTTAATCTTTTTAATAAAATAAAGTTTTTTTATCATTAATCAAAGTGAAATATTTCAATTAATTAAAAATTTAATTGAATTAATCAAAAAAATTTATTTTAAATATCGAGTGCTTTAGAATTGAAGAAAATACATTCACCTCTAATGATGAAAAAAATATTGAAAAAAATTGTGTAGAGAGCCTTGATTTTTTATTATTTTTATTTTTATGATAATTCATTTAACTAATATTAATAAAAATTTAATATTTTAACTATTACATCTAAAAAAGGATATTATAGATATTATAAAAATTCTTAATACACTTATAATAAATTTTGTTAAAACATTTTCACTTATATAAGATTACATTAAATAATAAAGATAAATCTAGTGAATGTACCAATGTACCATTAAAGAATTTTCCCAAAGAAAGACGAGAGTACGTTTTGCTCCCAATAGTTAGCCTTCTTAATGTTATTTTCCTTTCAGTTTGTGCAGATCGGTACAAATTGATTTCCTTGATATATATGGACGCAACTCAAAGAATTGAGATGCCCTATTTTTGCTGCTTGTAAAGTAGAGATAGCCGAACTACTGATTGCCAAAATATATAAGATGTTGTATCCTTTAACATTAAGGGTACTTTCTTAAGCCGTATATATCTGTATTGCTGCTTTCATGGCTTCAATATCCACCAATTTAATTGATTTGCCAAACCACCATAAAGAAACCATGTGTTTTTTTCATCAAACACATGCCTGTCAATTGATTGATCCACCACACCTCTTTAAATGCATTAATTTATATTATTGCCATACGTGGTTCACCACACAAGTTGGAGGTAATTAAGTGTAGGATACTTAATTTCAGTGCAGATGGCAAGGCCTACCTTTGATCAAACAGCTGACAACATGCCTCGAGAAAATGAAGAAATTAATGCCGATTTTAATTTAGGATTTAAAGATATTAATATATAAATAAAATCTTAAACTTAAAACATGAACCTTCAAATGGCTTTGCATGTTGGTAGAGCCTCATATTTTGTTTTTGTTAATTTAAATATAAATTTAATTAAATAATAATAATTATTTTAAAACAGATAAAGCATATATCATGTACTCACAATAAAATTCATTTGTTTTTCCAAAAAAAAAGATAAAGCATATATCATATTTTCATAGATTTGTTGTAATTAATATCAATGGTGGTGGTTTCCACTCCATAACAAATGCATGTGGGAGAGGAATGTTGAGGATAGAAAACAGGTCCTCCACAAAACGGCATGAGGGCATGTCTTTTTGTTCTCTCCCTGAGTCACAGTTAGCATAGGATACCATATGGAGTAGAATACATGAATATCTAACCAGATCTATCTCTTCATTCACTATTTAATTAATAGAGAGGAGAAGTTCACCAAATAACGACTCATTATCAAATGCATCTTCCCACGTGTACTGTCTCCCCCCACAGCCATCTTCCCTCTGCATGGCTTTCTTTCATCCTCACACACATTATTTTAATTTCTTCGTCTTTTCTTTTCAAAAGATATATATATCTATATGATCTACTCCTAATCACCAATACATTTTATTTTATTTGCATGGAACCATCAATCAATCTCAGCCACATTCATTCACACCTACTATACATTTTATAATTGTAATGTTCAAATTCAAAAATATAATTAAAAATGGTGCAATAATAGAAGTCTCTCTATAATTTGTCAATGAAGGTTTGATCTAATGATAAGATAGGGCTACTGAAAGTTGAAAATTTTAATTTCAAATCTAGCTTTATATGGGTGGGTTAAATTATTCCAACTTTATGTTGGTTTGTAATTAATTTGTTGATTGATTGATATACAATTAAATTTTAACTACATGAATTGTAGTTTTACCTCTTGAATTTTTTGTTTAAAAAAAAAAAAAAAAAAAAAAAAAGAGTCTACCTAGATACTGTGTGTGATGGGAATAAAATTGGCTTGCTACGTTCCCTACTTTTAGTTCATCATATCGTGAATTGTGCAATAATCATTTCACCTTCTAAAATTCTGTAAAAACAACTGATATAACAAACCCTTTTGCAGGTTCTGTGTGAGCAGAAGCAGATCATAAGATGAGCAGGAGATAGCAGACAGAAACATATATTCCAAATTCACCTGATTAACTATCACTTTATTCCTTATGTCAAGGCTTGTTTATGAATTTTAACCTTTTCTTTTCTTTCCCTTTTTTTTATTCTGTCTTTCTGTATCTTCTAATCTTTGATCTAGACAGAAGAGTTAACGGCAAGCTAAACTTGTTCTAAGGCTAGGAGTTTTCTTTATTATATTGTTGCTATTAAAGAAAAGGATCAAAAGGTCTTTGACTGAAGCTTAATTAATTTATCATGGTTTCATTGGGTTTTTTTTTTACCCCTTGTGGAAAAAAATAAAGGGCAGAACTTACCATGTATCAATCGAATAGTATTTTACCCAAGCAATGGTGGACTAAATTACATTTCTTAACCAGTGTTGGATTTTTATTAGAGAGATTAATTATTAAAAAATATTTTTTTATGAATTCTTTAGCCTTAACATGAATAATCTATATTAATTTAACCATACCAGTGAGATATAAACTTAATTGGCTTCCACCACTGAAATTATCCATGATACCTCTTGCTTGCTATATCAAACTCAAAACAATGGTGGTGTCCTTTGGTGAGCTTGACTGTGCTGCATCAAACTAAATCCAGAAGGACGGTCTCTTAAAAAAAAAAAAAACTAAACAGTGTTTCACATGCATGAATTAGTGGCATATTAAGGGCAGAAAATGGATTTGTAGAGCTGTCCTCCAGCTGGATGATGAGGAAGATGATTTGGACAAATTTGCAAAAGATTGCATTTTTTTTTTTTTTTGTTAATTATAGGATGACCAAAATTTTGGTGATGGGTCAATTTCATATCATCATATGGGGTTTTGAAAGAGCAATAACATAAAAAGAAATCAAAAGCACAAATCATATAGGAAAGAAAATTTGTTTGAGTCCTAATATATGAGGTTATTCTAAATATTAATTATTATAATAAATAGGGATGGATTTGTGCCTTATCCTTCCTAATATGTATTATTTTTTATACCATAAATTGCAAGACTTAAGATTACACCATGTGTGAATTTTTTTTTTTTTGAATGGTTGGATGAAATTAAGCCACATCAAATATGCTATTCTAAGGCCTTTGACAAGTCAAATGCCACATTTTTTATAAAAAAAAAAAAAAAAAAAAGAGAAAGAGAAAAGAGAAAGGGGCTGACAAGATGAGATTTATCTATTAGTTGCCTATTTGAGTTACGATGGAATTGTTTTAGTTGGTTTTTAGCAGTTTTGTTTTAGTTAAGATTGTGAGCTGGCAAATAGTTGGAACAAATGGTGAAATCTAGAAGGAGATCTGATTCAGTCTACTGTTGAGACGTCCATCTTCTTCAAGAAACCATTCACATTCATATAATCGCCTTGTAGTGGGGAGTTGCAAGCGGGGAGGAGACAAATAAAAGAAAATTTTCTAATTATTCAACATACGGCCAGCCCTACACACAACTTGTCAAATTTTCAATTCTCTAGTTTCATAACAATTACTCTCTTTAGCTTGCAAATTTCAATTTTCAACATAGATCTCAGTAGATTTAGGTTGTTTTCAGCATTTAAGTAGCCTAATTAGTTCATGTTATTGCTTATGCAATTTCCTTTCGTGCAATAAACATCAAACTTTGTAATTTTTGCAAAGTACTGTTCTTTTTCTTATTGGTATTAGTTTAATATTTATAATAAGTAGTGTTTCTCCAAATGATTACTTAAATGACATTCACACTTCTTCTTAATTTCTGACATATTAGTTTAATCTCTGTTCATATTAGGTTCATGATTATTTAGGGTTAAATCTTTAGTTTTGCAATAATTTGATTTACAAATCTGTTTGTAGATAGTAATTTAATCCGACAATTAACATACTTAGTTTAACTTGGATACATCTTTTATTTACAAGTTTAATTTGCATGTCATTTAGTTTATTTAGGATTTGTTAACTTTAATTTATGGTAGTGTTTAATTCATTAGAGTTATCCAAGACAGATTTAGCAACTCATTTTACAGGAAAGCATCCTTCCCCTTTGCAAATTTGTTTGTAGGCACAAATTTCAATTTTAAACCAACGTTCTTCTAGCTATCTACAAAGAAATCTACTGCCGGAAAAGAGAGGATCCTTGGAAAAATCCTCATTTTTACTTTACAGCAAAACAAGTGATACGTCCACATTCAAATTCTATATGTGTGGCGCTGCTTGAGGATTTTTGAAAAAACAATTATATATATCACTAATTTCTAACATATGAAGTTAGAGGTCTATTAATAAATAATTAAAACTTTGATTATGTAATGACAATATTCATCAACAGCTCATATAAGGACTTGGACTGGGTTTGGCATGATGATAAAGGTGGAATTCATTTGGTTATATAATTTTTTTTTTTTAGAAAAATAAATTTAGGGAAACAAATATTTTATAATTTTTTGTGTTAAAGATGGGATTTAATGTGGACAGACATATATATCAATATTTTAAATATGGTGCAATTGATATTCTTATAAATTAGTGCAGAAATTTGTTGAAAAGAAAAAAAAAAAATACTGTGTCATTTGCCGTAAAGTAATGGTAGTTTCCATCAACTGGCCATAAGGTCAGCTTTTATGAAGAACAGACAGTAGAATGAAATGCAGTACCTGCTGTAGCAGTAGTAGTAGCATTTAAGGAATTAATTGCATTCTCTCTTTGATTCCGTGTTAAACACTTACTATTGTTTTTGAGAACGTTTTTGTGTTTTAGTGGTCATTTTATCATTATAAAAAGATTTTTCATACTTAAAGTTAGAGGTGTAGAGTTTGAATTCTACTCCAAATATTAAAAAAAGGAAGAACAAACTTACTACCGTCTCCTCCTATTTCTGTTAATTCAAATCTTTTATCTGTTTGGAAGTTATCTTAAGATAATTGTCTGATTTTTCACTTTTAATTTGTCTAAAAATTAAGTATCATTTTTTTATTTTCTCAGATAAATAAATATGTTTTTCTTACTTTTTAACTCTATCATTATCCTTATACTTTAATTATTATCTTCTTACAATAAATATCTTTTCACCAATAGTATCTTTTAATATTTCCTTTTTAAAGGTAATATTTATAAATAAACACATAAATTGTTTTCAAGTCTATCGTTTGAAAAAAAAAATCAACAAGTGATAATTATTGAACTTCTAAAATTATTTTAAAATCAAAACAATCTAACATTAAAAATATATTAAGGCATTCAATCAAAACCATATAATAAGTTAAATATAATGCCTGTCTCACCTAAGTTTCATATATTATGCACTTAAGATTGAATATTTTAATAATTTTAATAACAGAACGTCCCGAGGTTTTCCTTTTTTTCTAAAAAAAAAAAAACAAAGCTAATCCTACAAAGGTCTTTTTAGTACTTTTTAGAGTAACAAGAATCATGCTAGAACTACCAGTTCAATCTTGTTATTACCATTTCAATAGAATATAATTCGGACATGCCGCACCGTAACACAGCCCACCAACCTTGAGTAGAACCTTGTTCGAAGCAGTTCAAAGGTGATCTGAATAGCCATGTTATCCCAGAAAAATTATTTAAGCAATAATCAGGCAAATCACGATTCGGGAACCAAAGGTTCTTATTCTCTTTTTAGAGGAATCGAATCAAATCAAGAGAAATAGAAAAGATTAATTTGAATTTGAACTCTACTGAAATTAATTAAAATAATTTTGTCACGAGCAATGTTCAATCTTCAATGCATATGCACCAGGATCTGAGATTTTGTTAGTTGATGCCTCAATAGACTGATTATGGTAAAGACAGTAAGTGATGAAAATAACTGAAAATTATAACAGAAAGAAAAGATAACACATTATTCAGACCAGAATTTCAGGAAGGCAGCGATGAACGATTTGAAAAAGGCCAAGAGCGGGTTGGTTTCTGATGATGCATTCCCTCTTGCGGTTGCTTCCCATGATTTACTGTGCAAAAACAATCAAGGAAATGAATAATCAGAGATGTAGTGAAAAGTTGGCCTGTCACACTAGGGACCATTTTTAATGTTTAACCACGCAATTCACTGAAGGAATTTATCTATTTGGTAATATAACTGAACGTGGGAGACATGCTTACAGGTTAATTCTGTCCAATGTTCCATTGCTTGTTTTCGGTGAGTTGGCATTATGCTGAAGATGGGCTCTTTTGTTCTCAACCAAAACTGCCTCTTGGGTTGTTGACTCTTCACTAGCATTTCCATTGAGAGTACTGTCACTCTTTGTATGGATGCGGTTTGGAGAACTTATAACCTAAAGGGGAAAAATAAATGCTATTAACAATAGTTCGAGTAATAGAATCTGCCATCAAATGTTTCCAAAGAATGGAAGTCATATCCTAGACTACCTATTAATGCCTACTAGAGTCATTACCTGTTAAAATTAGCATTTCAGAATTATTTCTCCAATCAAATCCTACTCTTTAACCACTCTATTAGTTTCCAGCACATGTTATAGAATTTTATCCTGCTAATAATACATGTCCAACTTTAATATTGACCTGACACTTGGTGTAGAACTGGTCATGAAGTAATTTCACATGCAGAGAAACAGAAAAAGGTTTTTGACAAAAAGATACCTCTCCATCAGTAGCCTTGCTTCTTTCATTTGTTGTAGATGTTGAAACATCATTATGAGATAAATCAACCCTTGATGTTGTACCATTATGAGATCCATGAACTACACTGTTAGTGGTTGTTAACTGTTTAGAGGTTTCTAGTGGTGGATCGGAAAGGCTATCTGCCACTTTGTTGTAGACCAAATTGGAGTTTTTCTCAAACAACATATCTACATCTTTTCCCACTTTCTCATCATCCACCAAGGAAGATTTCTCAGAGGAAACTATTTCATCTAACAGGAAACCACCATTTTTGGGATCTAAGTCCACCTTTTTGTTCTCTCTTTCTTCTGAAGTCTCACTGAGATTCCTCATTTCACCGTACCTTTCATCCATGTAGTCAGTTGATTTAGAAACAGGTCTTAATGGAAATGTCTCCACAATTACATCTGTTGTTATCTGAGAGAGTATAGGTGAAATAGATGTGAACTTCTTGACACTTTCGTCAGCTTCTGAAACTACTGGAGCTGCACTAGACATAACTGGTGTTAGTTCTTTCTCACTTTCTTCAAGAAACTCCTTTACTCCCAACTCTGTGCTTTCTTGATCAGTTTTGTCTTTCATATCAATGGCAGCCCCATTTCCTTCCAACTCTGCACTGGCTTCTTTACGACTTTCATCTTTCAAATCCATGGCATTCCCATTTACTTCCAACTCTGCACTGACTTCTTTATGACTTTCATCTTTCAAATCAATGGCATTCCCATTTACTTCCAACTCAGCACTGACTTCTCCATCACTTTCATCTTTCAAATCCATGGCCCCTCCATTTACTTTCAACTTTGCACTGACTTCTTTATGACTTTCATCTTTAAAATCCATGGTATTCCCATTTACTGCCAATTCTGTGCTGAGATTTTTATCAGTTTCATCTTTCAAATCCATGGCACTCTCATTTGCTTCCAACTCTGCACTGATTTTTTCATCAGTTTCATCTTTCAAATCCATGGCACTCTCATTTGCTTCCAACTCTGCACTGATTTTTTCATCAGTTTCATCTTTCAAATCCATGGCACTCCAATTTCCTTCCAACTCTGCACTGACTTCTTTATCAGTTTCATCTTTCAAAACCATGGCACTGCCATTGATGACTTGTTCATCATCAAACTTATGTTTTTCAGATCCCACAAATAGCCCATCAAAAGATGGAACAGATTCATCTCTCACACCCTGAACATGATTAGGTACAAAATTAATTCCAGTAGCTGGTGCAGGCTGAGAGGATTTTGGTTCGATGGAAATTGAACCCAATGGATGTTGTTCCAGGAACTGTTCAGCATTCTGTTCCTCTTCAATCAACTTACCAGGGCCCAACACTCTATTTTCTTGGATGATCTCTCGGACAATCTCCCTTATGGTGTAGAAAGATCCACCAACTTCCTTGTGGGTGAGATTCAGAGATGGGAAATTCCCATCATTTGTCCTCTGGTACCTACAAGCAGTTTCACCATTTAATGGATACATCTGTTGCTTTCGCAAAGCAATGAAGAACTCATTAAGGAAACTAGCAATTAAACAGGTTAATTACAGAGGTCAATAGTCAAAGTTAAAACCCCATAGAAGTATAATTAATTAAACTTTGACCTGTAAAGTAGTATAAATCTCAACATGGGAGCTGAAGCAGGACAGGCAGGGTTACAAGACACATTTGGAGTTCTTTTGCTAACCCAAAAGCACAACTATCAGAGTTCAGAGTCAATTTTCAAGCAAATTTTTTTGTTCAAGCCCAAAACAAAAAGATGAAATTGCCTATAATCTATGAATCCCAGAAATAAATTACAGAGTACTACAGAAATGCTAGAATTAAGAGTACTCTAACACAGATAAATATGCCAAAAAGAACATAAATAATTATTTGAGGGAAAAAGTAAGAAAGACAATTGAAATAAAAAGAAATACCAATACTGAGTTACTGTCCATCACCTTTAGACAGACAACAAAATTTTAGGGAGGAGAACTATAATTTACTTACTTCTTTATAAAAGATTCAACCATGGCTTTCCTCTCCTCCTTTGAACGCCGAATTCGAGCCTTCCTTCCACCAGACTCATTGCTTTTAGCTAATGCAAATGTTTGACCAACCCAGGCGCCTTTTATAGCATGCATGAGGTTAAAATGGTGCCCTACCCTTTCAGCACATAACCTACATGATACAGTACCCAAATTAGAGAAAAGATGAACATTTTTCTCAAGTAATTAGACAGGTATATAGCACTCAAAGCAAATTCACAGTAATTTCTCAGGAGAAAATGGCAACGTATAATCCCTGTCTCAGAAATGCTTAGCTCTAGCTACATTAGGGAGCATTACGTCCACTTCAATCAAGATAGTGTAAGAAAATGCTCCAAAACACCATACACAGAATCGACATAACTGAAAATTCGAAAAGAAAGATGAATCTTCAGCTCAATTAAGCTAAACTACAGAAGCAGATTCGATTCTGTAAAAGGTTTTTGCTTTTCAATCTGATACTAAAACTTCCCCGAGAAATGCATGTCATCAGGGAAAGCAAACAGAAACAATCAAATCAAGAAAGAAGATCTGCACACGAAAATCGGCAGGAATTGGGGAAATCAACGGAAGATTGAAGAGTCAGTCAAGAGTGTTACCTGAGAGTAGCGAAATGAGAGTGAAAAAATTGGATTTCGGGGTTTGGAGTTGTTTTCTTTTTTTGTTTTTTGAAAAAACCCTACCGCCACTGTTATCGCTGACAAGTCCAGGCGGGAGTTTGGTAAGAGTCGCAAGCTTGGGGCTTGGCTTGTTGAATAAATTATTCTTTCTTAAATTGGGCCGAGCCCAAATAATTCCAAGCTACGTATCCAGTAATCCTGACTCCTGAAGACAAATAGCCTACAAGGACTTCGACCCAAAAAATGGCAAAAATCAGGGCGATGATCCAATTCTCCACTCCGAAACAATGGTAACAAAATTTCATCAATTTTCGAATAAAACGGGCAGTGGGGCACTGTTAGTGGTACCCTATCCTGGATTTCCATGCAGGGTGAACTACAAAATAATACCCTCTAACAACTGTGCAAACTTCAAAACAATGCTCTGCCAGTACCAACTGTAATAAGAATCTGAGTTTAAGTTTGGGCAGTTAATATGCGAGTATATAATATAACAGGAAGACTGCAGTGCATAAAAAAATTAAAGAAATCAAAATTGTCTCTTTACTTTGTTCCCAGCAATATAACAAACGAAGATAAAATATTAAAAAATATTATAATTATAATATTATATAATATTATAAATTTATAACATAATGTATTAATTCTTTTTATTTAAAGTTTTATTTATGGTATTATATATATACTTATTTAATATCATATTATATTTATTTTATTAAATAAGATTATAAATGTGCACTTGACCTTAAAGACCCAATGACATTAGTTATTGAACAGATACATTCTCC